TTTTTTTTCTGAAACGGAGGGGCACGTCTCTGGCTAGCGGGAGTGGGGAAATGGGGTCGGAGCGGCGAGAGACCGCCGGGGTCTGAAGCGAAGTGAGGGAGAGTGAGCCCGGCAGGCGGCTGCGCTGGGAGCAGCGCGGGCGGTGGTGAAGAGCAGCGGGTGCCTGCGCCCCCTTCCCCTCTTCCAGTTCCACACGCACCTCTCCCTCCTCCCTTCCCCACCTGTTCTACGCCCTTGCAAGTATTACACCCAGCCGACTCCGCCCGAACGATGGAAACCCTCCCGAACGCCCTCCCAAGCCCCTCTGAGGAGAGAGGGGCTGACCAGCCCGGCGGGCAGGGAGCCGCCTCCGCCTCTGGGGACGGCCCCGTCCCCACAGCGCAGCGGGCGGGAAGCCGGGCGGGGAGCGCGGCCCTCGTTCGCCGCGGGCTTTCCTGTCAGTCAGAGAGCGGAACCGCCCGGGCCGATCTGTGAGGGGAAGCAGCGTTCGGGGCTGAGGGGCTGGCGCAGAGGGATACTTAAGGATAACCCGCTTTTAGAAACAAGGAGTCGGCGTAGGAGAGGGCTTCGTGCCTCCGCTTCAGCGGCAGCGGTCGGTGCCTGTAACGGGATTTGGGCTCAGGAGCCCCGGGGACGCGCTGTCAGCGCGGTGTCCGCCTCACGGGACGGCTTGAGAGGAGGGAGCCCGTTCAAACAGTTCGTTATCTCGGGGAGGGATTGGTGATTTTTTTTATGGCGTTGTCAGGCGGCTGTAACTTACTTGGTTTACAGTTTCGGTGGCTGAAGAGGCAGTTTAGATCAAGCCAATTCCCCGTGAAAGGCTTTTTTTTTTTTTTTTTTTGGTGCGTTTTCTTGGCAAGATTTCTTTTCCGACGTAAAACTGCTGACAGGATGCACATTGCCAAACAATAGTGATTACGTTTTAATTAGCTAGGGTGAAATAAGCTGCAAATTACTCAGTTAGGACTTGATAACTGGCTGTTTTTTTGTAATCAGTTGGAAATCTTGCGGTTTTAACCCCAACCTGTTAAAGCACACGGTAATTTATCTAAATTACCAGGGATTAAGCTCCTGCTAGACATGAAACGACTGTAATGTTTGGAAGATAAAGTGCTCTCCTTTATAAAAGTTGAGCTTTCCATTGTCTTTTAATGAGGGAAGGGAGGAGAGTTTTAGAGTACAGCACACATCCCATGTTCTCGCTGGAGACCGATAATACACCGTGGACTGTAGGACGTGCAGGTCTGGGCCATATTATTCCATGAGGGCTAAAGGACACGATGTTCCTTTCATCCCCTTCTCTTCTCCCTCCTTTTAACCCCCCTTCCCCCCCCCCCATTTTCATCTCAACTGGTAGCAATTTCTGGTGTTCTTTTCATTTCAGAGATGCCCACTTATCTTGTAATCTGATTCAACCTTTGAAGCGAACTAAACACTAGCTCGTCCCAACTGGAGCAGGAAGGAACTCTAGTGTCTCCCAGTTAGGACAGGAATTGAAAGAAGACTGACCCGCTCATTTCCCAGCCCTGCTTTAGGTACAGCCTCAGTGCGGGGGGTGTCAGGGAGACAGCAGCTGGGTGGTTCATGGGAGGTGGCCTCCCCAACGCTTCAGAGAGACTTCATTTCACGTAGTTCACGGTACTAAAACCACATCACGAACAACCTTTTAGAGGGAATGAGGTAGTATGAACAGGAAATCAGGATTAATTCTGCACCTGCTGCTGCTCCCTTGTTTGAATGCCAGCTGATATTTTTCAAATTTCCAAAATGCTCACAACAGATTTTAATTCATTTTCCCCCACAGAGAATTTTCACCCATTTTTCTTTACCGTCCCTGTTTGTGAAAGGGTCAAGAGAGGTGTTCTTTTTTTTTTTTTTTTTAAAAAAAATCTATTTGTTAATTTACATTTGGGAAGCAGTTCTAAGCCTATTTTAAAGGTGCATTCTCAGTATGAAATTATTTTAACTGATGTACAGGTCAAATAATTTGCTTTTCTTTTTTTTTTCCATGTACACTATTGATGTGGGCTAGAATTAATCACCTAAGTCAAAAGAATGTGATCTTCAGAAAGTCTGTTGAAGAGGCACAGATACCTGCTTTTTGTTATACAATTCCCATGACCAGGGGAGTTTTCCAGTTTTGGGAGTGCTGGGGAATTCTAAGTAGAGGTTACACCCAAGGACATTTGGGATTAATATGAGAGTTACCGCACCACATGGATCTTACAGCCCATTGAAATAAGTACATCTTATATCAATCTATGGCCTATCTACAGGTTGGGAAGTTTCACACAGAACTTGCTGGCACAGAGTCCTTTCATAAAAAAAAAAGCAAACAAACAAAAAATGTAAGTGGAATGGGTCATAGTGGTTTCTTCTTTTATATAACAGCATATTAATTACATACTCATCCACGATAGGGAATGATGTTTAATCTATGAATGAAGGGACTCCAACATACCTCTTCTGTCTTCCTGGAGTGTGTGCAACATTGAGCTTTAGCTTACTTTGGACTTTTGCAGATGAGAGAAAGCATTTTTATCCCAACCGTGTAACTTGGGCCACTGGAGAGCACTGAATGAAGCATTCGTTGACCTGTGACCAGAAAGAGTAGGGCAAAGAGAACATGTCTCTCTAGCCTGATGTTTAGGGTACTCACTTTTAGCTATTTTGGGTGTTGAGACCGGGGTTTTACAATGACTGTTGTGTAACATGTATGAGGGAGCAATTGGAGCATTCACTGGAACCCGTCCATGCTGCTGGGTGACTGCACTGACAGAGTAGAGTTCCTACCGCTGTGCTTTGTTCTGGCAAAACTTTCTGTAAATCACCTGAACGGGGGAGGATGGTGAGAGTGTTCGTCTGGCAACCAAGAGCATGAAAGTCAAGTGGCCTGCCTATGGTGGAGAAGATTATAATTATATAATTATGATTATATTATAATCATATAATCATTATAAATATATAATTATGATTATATTATAATCAGCGTTGTACCCATTTGGTTGGTGTCTAAAAGAGCATGCCTGTGTATTAGTAAGCTGCCCTTATAAGATGGGAAGGGCGATTCCTCCTCTAGTCTGGAATGAAAGGAAGGGCTAAGGTGTCTGGCTCCACAAAAAACATCATCAAGACTGTGAATCCTGTGTGGAAGAAGGCATGCTGTTTCAGGGACCGAGGCTGTAAAGAAGAGTGATGTCAGTGGATACAGTCTTTCCCTTAACATTTTCTTATTAAGGCTATTAAGGCAGTTCCCTTGTCAGTGTTTTAGCTGATGTACAGGAGAAAGTTAGGAATTCTAATCTGATGTATCCAAAGTTTATTTGTGAATCTGGTTTTATAGTAACCTAGTACAGTAGGTAAAACCCTCATGAAGATGAGGTCACAGTTACTGGACAAGTTTTTGTACTCCTGAAGAGGGTATGGATATAAGTAGGGACCTTGCATAGTTAGCTGGAAAAAAGGCTTGAATACCCACATTAGTTTAGCTAGGGCTTTTCTATATAACCTGCCTGTTTTAGTGGAGTGAGACTAAATTCCTTGCATTACTGTCTATGGGTGTAGCCTTTCCCATCTGTGATACTAGTTGTGGATGAACTCCTTGCATTTTGGGGGAGCAGACTTGGCAGTGACCTTTAGTGTTCTGTTTTCAAGCTGAGTGAAAACACAGTTTGGGTTTTAACCTCTACTGCCAGCCATCTGAGCCATGTTCAGAAAACAGCATGATTAAAAGTTTTCTTTGTGAATAAGAGCTTGAACATCAGTGTAAGGAGAGAGGCTAAAGGTAGAGCGTAAAAATGTTATGGAGAGCAAACAGTGTTTACTCGGACCTGTGAACTCATGGATCTTTTGTCTTAGTTGCCATCTGTTACAGACCTCTCAAGTGTCTTCCTGCTTGGTATGTGAAACTTGACAAGTTAGCTAAGGTAGAGGTGGTGTCAATCTTGTTTACTGGGTCAAAAGCTGAGAGGGTGGTAGAACGTGCCACAGGATGGAAGAATGGCTGCAGCAAGAATTTGGGGGTGGTTGCCAGTCAAATTGACTGGCAGTGTTTGTGGTATAGAGTCACAGGAACAGAGAGAGGCAACAGCCACATGCTCACAGAGTGACAGAGTGGTTGAGGCTGGACAGCACCTCTTGACAACCTCTTCTAGTGTTCAACCACCCTCATAGTAAAAAAAAAAAAAAGGGAAAAAAAAGAAAAAAAAAGGCGTTTAAAGTGTTTTCTTATGTTCAGATGGAATTTCCTGTGTTTCAATTTTTGCCCATTGCCTCTTGTCCTGCTACTGGGCACCACTGAGAAGAGTCTGGCTCCATCTTCTTTACTCCCTCCCATCAGGTATTTACTTACATTGATGAGAACCCCTTGAGCCTTTTCTCTTCCAGGCTGAACAATCGCAGTTCTCTCAGCCTCTTCTCATGGGAGAGATGCTACAATCCCTTTGCTGGACTTGCTCTGCTAAGTCCATGTCTCTCCATGTAATGGGGAGCCCAACACTGGACCTAGCACTCCAGATGTGGAGGAGTGACTAGAACAGAGAATAGGAACAGTTACATTTTAAAGATACAATGGCTGCTAAATATTGGTACTCAATTCTACATTCACTTTCACTATTTACATTTTCTTACATTAGTTTATATATGACCATTTATGATTGTCAGTGCATTAAAAGTAA